TCCTCCACCACTGTTCCTGGCCTCTCTCGAACCCGGGAAGGGAAAGAGGGACAGGAGATTCCGAATACGTTCCCCCTGATGTCTCTAGGAGGTTGGGCCACAGAAGCAGGTGTGGTGAGGCTGCTTTTTAAAAAAACAAACCAAAAAGAAGTTCTTTTTCAATCTCCCCCCTGTCATGGTGCGTAGGGGGGAGGCTTCTCCCCGGGGAGGAAAGGGGCTGGAGCATAGAGAGGCGGGGCGTTGGGCTGGAGCCCGAAGCTGGAGCTGGACTGGGACGGAGGCTGCGTGTCCTCGGACAGAGAGAGGTCAGTGGAGGACGAGGCTGGGAAGCTGCTGGACGGCTGCAATGGAACAGAAAAGGCTTCCTCAGTCTGTGGAGAGGGCCAGCCGCATGCAGTCCGCGCGGAGCACCCCTCCAAGAGCCCACCTGGGGCTCAGGCTCCCCCAGACCCAGGGTCACCCGCCTAACCGAGGCCCTGGGGTGGGAACACTCCCTGACCAGAGTGAGTTCTCAGGGAGGCCAGGGGGAGGCCCGGCCCTGCCCAGCGGGGGCCTCCTTTCCACAAAGTCCGCTCCTGCAGCCGCCTGTGGAAACACCCGGCTGTGGAATTCCTCAGACTTCCCAGCCCTCACGCCTGCTATGTGGGAGTCTCATTTTTCAAGGGCAAACATGTCCAAGGAGAAGGCTGCCCAGCTCATTTGGGGACCCCTGGGTTCACCCAACACGTCACACTTTAAGGAAAACCCCAAGAGCTCAGCATTTGTCACCGAGTGTGACGATTAATTTTATGTGACAACTGGCCAGGCCTCGGTGCCCAGATGTTTGGTCGAACACCTGTCTGGAAGTGGCTGTGATGGTATTTTGAGATTGACATTGAAATCAGTAGACTGAGTAAAGCAGGTCACTCTCCATGATGTCGGTGAGCCTCATCCAATCAGTTGAAGGCCTTAAGAGAACAAGACTGAGGTTTCCGGGGAGGAGGGAATTCTCCCAGGAGACTGACCTTGGGCTCGAAACTGCAACATCCATTCTTTCCTGGGTCTCCCACCTGCCATCCTGCCCTGCCCAGGACACCTTGCTCTGTCCCTGTCTCTCTATTTCTCTGTCTCAGTGTCTAATCTACATCTATGTCTACATATATGTGCATCCATCCATCCTATTGGTTCTCTGGAGAACCCTGACGTAGACGCAAGTAAAAGTGATTGAGAAGAAAAACATTTTTCCAGTTTTTCTCCACCTGCCAACAAACCTGTTACACTTTTTTCTTTTTCAAGTTCTAAGAGTTGAAAATGCCTACTTAAAACCGATCTTTAAACAAATAAAGCACACAGGCCCTGCTGTGAAATGCCACAGGGTGAGTGTAGGGCCCTGGTCTCCTGGCAGTGCTGTAATTCCTTTGCTCTCTGCCTGCCAAGTGCCCCGGGGCCCCCGAGAGGCCGACCTCCTGTCTGCCTTGCCCTTCCCTGGAGACTTCTCTACAAAGGAGGTCCAGGAGCCCCAGACCTCAGGATCTGAAAGGAGGATTTCCTCACAAGCTGTCCCTGAAGCCAAGAATGTCACCTTGCTCAGGGTCAACAGCCTGAGTTTTCAGGATCTGACAGCCCAGGGCCCCTGCCCACCTTTGTTTCTTTCTTTCTCTCAAACTCACACTCTGACCACAGGGACAAAGAAAACCTCTAGAGAACATTCTCTGGGGAACATTCTGCTGGGAGCTCCCAGATCCCACCATGTATGTGTCCAGCTCTTCACTGGAAATGAGCACCTGGGAGAACCACAGCATAAACCACCCAGACCATAGAGCAAATCACCAGGAACCAGGGAGTAAACCAGAAGGACCCACGAAGTAAACCACCACAAATCGCAGAGTAACTTGCCAGGAACCATGGAGTAAACACCCTGAACCACAGAGTAAACTACCACAAATCGCAGAGTAACTTGCCAGGAACCATGGAGTAAACACCCTGAACCACAGAGTAAACTACCACGAACCACAGACTTAGCCACCATGAACCACAGAGTAAAACACCATGAACCACGGAGTAAACCACCACAAACCACGGAGTAAACCATCACAAACCACAGACTTAATTAACCACCACAAACCACGGAGTAAACCACCACAAACCACAGAGTAAACCACCACAAACCACAGAGTAAACCACCACAAACCACGGAGTAAAACACCATGAACCACGGAGTAAACCACCACAAACCATGGAATGAACCACCACAAACCACAGAGTAAACCACCACAAACCACAGAGTAAACCACCACAAACCACAGAGTAAAACACCACGAACCACAGAGTAAAACACCACAAACCACAGAGTAAAACACCACGAATCACAGAAAAAACCACCATGAACTGTGGAGTATACCACCAGTAACTATAGAGTGAACTACACTGACAGACAGAGCCGGATCAGGGGAATGGACAAAAAATCCCTTAATCACAGGGTGTGAGCGAAATCTCTCCTTGTGTCCTTGTTCACAAAACTCATCAACACCAACCCCTTCCCTGACTTTCCTGACCAATCAACTCCTAGGAGCAAGGAAGGTGGGTTCTCTTCAAAAAAATTTTTTGGCCAACTGCTCAGATCAGCCACTGGCAGCTGTCCCCTCCCTCTCGGCTGTCAGCAGAAACAGGGTCCCCTCCCTCTCGGCTGTCAGCAGAAACAGGAGCTTCAGTTCTGTTGTTTTCCTGCTATGGAAACACAGGAAACTCATTGATTTGTCCTCTCCTCAAAATCCAATTATTGACATATGTGTAATTATACTCCTACATGTGCTGGCGATAATAGCTGATTAGGCCAACGGGACGAGAGCCCAGGCCTCCCCCGGGAGGGTGAAGAGGGGGCATCTGCTGCTTGTGAAGAGCCAGAGGGCCCCGAAGGAGGGAATATGACACTGAAGTCGAGCAGACCCACTCACCAGCACCGGGATTTAGGGATGGAAGACCATCCGCTCATCCTGCACTCCTGCAAGGAGCAAGTCTCCTGAGGGCACACGGCAAGAGCAGGACACCACCCAGCACCCCGAAGTCAGGCTCCAGGCTTACCAAGAGCCCTGGCTGCTGCCCACCCCCAAGGACCACCCATGCATCCGGCAGTTGACACATGAAGATGTATGACTTCATTGCAAAGGATCAGGTCTGAGCCCCCCGCAGCACCCCTCCCGCCCAAGCACAGAAACACAACTCGGCGTGCATGTTAATATTGTAAACTTCCTAGCACTTGCTGCTGGCGTTGTTAGTAGTACAGGTAAAAGAATGCTAAGCCCCTCTGGTTGCCCCACCCCGAAATGGAAGCCTAGGTAAGTTGTGTGGACCAGTGGTTCTCATCTTCGACCCCTGATGACACTGGGCAACTTCTGGATACATTTTTGGTTGTCACAACGGGGGTGTACTGACAGCTGGTGGGTGGAGGCCAGGGACGCTGCTCCACATCCTATAGTGCACAGGGCAGCGTCACCCCTCAGAGCTCTCTGGCCCTAACGTCAGTAGTGCCACGGTTGAGGTCTGGAGTACATAAGGCGACAGATTATTAGGGTCTATTTCAACCAGAAGCTTCCTAGCTTATAAAGAAGGAAAAGCCAAAACCACAAATGGAAACAGAAGGACAAAGCAAACGCCGCTCTACAAACAAGGTCTCACCCCCACCAAGTGCCCCACAACAACTCCAAGGCCAACAGCAGTATTTTAGGGCGAATCTATGACATCGCCGCTGCTGTGGGCAGTGTGGTTGGGCATTGGCAGATTCACATGGCTCCATCTAAGTAATTGTGCTATGGTGACGGGGCCCAGGCACCTGGTGGTATGTCCCCAGCCGCTCGGGCCCGGAAATCGCAGTGAACTTTGTCGATTGAGAAAGGTTAGTCCTGGCCGGTGTGGCTCAGTTGGGTGTCGTCCCATTACACCAAGAGGTCACCAGTTCCATTCCCGGGCAAGGCAGATGCCCAGGTTGCGGGCTCGATCCCCAGTAAAAGGCGTACAAGAGGCAGCTGATCTATGTTTCTCTCTTTCTCTCTCCCTTTCTCTCTGTCTAAAACCAATAAAAACATATATTTTAAAAAAGAAAGAAAAGGTTAGAGTCCTGAAGGACACCAACAATTGGTCACCATGACCATGTGGAGCAAAGGATGTCCAAACTGCCAAGTTTGGCTGTGGAACGAACGTCCCTGTGAGAGGCTGTGTGTGGAGTGACCGGCCACATCACCCCTCGGATAATCCCAACCCCTTTTCCAGTCCATGCCTGCTCCGCCACCACATCACCTCCATGAGGAGAGGGGAAGCCCTGGGTCCTCCTTCAACCCAAGCCCCCCTGCATGTCCCGTCTGACCAGCGCTGTCCTGCATGACAGCTGCCTGTGATGTGAGCACCGCGGCTTCAGGCAGGTGAAGCTCAGCCTACCTGGAGAGGCAGAGGGTAGGACGAGCAGGTGGGGAGGGTCGCCGGTGCCGGGCAGAAGCCGGAGTAGGCCAGGATCTGCTGGGCAGGGTTGTAGAGGATCTGAGGTGGAGCAGAGGGTCTGTAGGCCAGCTGGGACAGAGGGACCTGCCACCGAGAATGGAGATGCATCAGCCAGCCCCCCAAAGCCTGGCACCTTCAGCCTCGAGCAGTCCCTCCAGGGAGCCCCATGCTCAAGTCATCCAGGAAGGTGAGGTCCTAGCAGATCTGCCAGGGGGAGATGCCTCGAGTCCTCAGATCAAAATCTCTCGGATCGGAACTAAACACCTGAAAAGCGGGGCTTATTTTTGCTTTTTATTTTTTTAAATTGTCCCAGAGACCCACTAAGATTCCAGGTTAGGCCCAGGCCCTCTTTGGTGCTGTTTTGATAAAGCACGAAAACCCCTGATCCCTCCCCTGCAGGTGACGCAGTGTTACACCACCTCCCACGCAGCTTCGGCCATAGCGGGTGGACGGGCTTCCATGCTCAGACATGGTCCTACTGGGCTTGCTTCCCTCATGTGCCAGCCCCGGGGACACAGCCCAGGGGTTTCTGGGCTGGCACAGCAGGAGCTGGGCCCCACAGAGGGCAGGTGGCGAGGGGAGCATCCTGGCCAGAGGAAACAGCTGCAGCCAGAGCCCTGGGGGGCTTGGGCTGAGCAAGGGTGATGGAGGTTGAAGGTCAAGGTTCACAGATGATCTCATGGGCTGAAAAGGAACCCAGCTGGCCTTGCTCAGCATTTTGGCCATTTGGGGGTTTAGGAAGGACAGGGCAGGGCCGGGGGTTCTCCCATGAGGGAGCTAAACATTTTGGCATGGGCAGCTTCACTCTGTCTGCAGGAGGCACTGGGAGGCCCGGCCCAGCTTTGGGCCTGGCTGCCTGCATCTGCCTGGTCTTGCCCTGGCCTCCTGTCTACCTTTCTGTGTGGGTGACCTCAAGGAGCCCCCAGCTGGGCAACAGGACTGTCCACCTCATTTCTCAGTACATACACCTGAGGCTCAGTGCAGACCCTTCCCCGCCAGACAGGGTTTAAATGACTGTGTCTGTAAGTGTTGTCACGGTGCCCAGGCACCGCCTCAGGAGCCCCGCTGCAGACTGCAGACTCCCTTTGCCCCGCCTGCTGGGCAAAGGGACTTACTCTGCACCAGTGTGACGAGCATGTGTGACCTGCATATGAAGCCCTCGTACGCTGAGAGGGCACACACAGCTTTGGGCTGGTTCATGAAGGGCCTTCATTCCTTAAAATAATTTTAAATTGTAAGATCCATTAAACTTATAAGAGTATTACTCAGTGGATGTAGAATGTTAAGGAATCACGCTTTTTGCTTCTCACAGCGCCCCAGAGCTTTGGGTTGGAGAAAGAAAATTGTCCAGAGCAGAGTTTAGACACAACGCTGCGGTCTGGTGGGAAATAGGGGCCCTTCTGGGGCATCGCTACATTCCTGATAGAACACCTATACTGAGGGCTTTCGCAGAGGGCGCCCTGTGGGACCCTCTGCAGACCCCAGGCACCCTGGGAGAGCTGTGGCACCCACTGGAGACTTTGCTGAAGGCATGGTGACCAGCGACTTTCATCCCTGGAGGGTGCTTGTCTTTTCCATGAGTGTAAAGAATCTTATGACCACAGCCAGAGCTTGGAGAGGCGGGCAGCCCCCTCCAGGGTGGCAGCCAGGAGGAAGGTGTGGGTCCTAGGGGACACCAGGATGTCCCGTGTTATCTCAGATTTTATCTAGAGAAACAAAACCTTTTAGAAAATCACAGATCTCGGGAGGAATCCAGGCTCAGCTACTAAAACCGGTCAGTGACCAAAGTCTCCAGAACAGCTGGGTAGCAAGAGACTCGGGAAGAGCTTTAGCTGCCGGGCAGGTGACTTGCCGGCCTTAGAGTTAACACTGGGTCATGGTGGGTGGCTCCTCTCTCTCAGCTGTTATGTGCATGCCGAGGGGTTTGCAACTGGGGACTCTGAGGGGCTGCCCTTCGCCTGCGGCACCTCTAGGATGAAGGGAGGGTTGTTGCAGGAGGTGGCACGTGTGGTGAGAATTTCTAGTTTGGAACAAAGAGGTGTCACAGGGAGAGGACTGGAGAAGGGGGATCCTGCAGCCCAGCCCCAGGCAGGGCTATTTGCCTGTGAAAAGGGAACCACGCTGAGGGGAGGCTCAGCTAGAACAGCCTTCACAGTGAGGCCCTGCAGTCACGGCCCCTTCCTGGCGCTCCGGCACACGCTAAGCACCGCTCTCCCTAGTTCTTGCATCAGAATCACCTATGAGTTTGGGAGAGCGCAGACCCCAGGACCACCTGCCCCTCCAGATCTACCAAATCAGAGGCTCTGGTGATTGCACACGCAGTCGGGGTGAGAGGTGGTGGAGACAGACACATCTAAGTGTCAAGTTCAGGTTCTTCCTCGGAGGGTGGAGGCGAGTGCTGGGACAGACTCTGCTTCCAGAAACGACCGGCAAAGACTGGCTGTCCTTAAAATGTATGGTGGGTGGTGTTCACAAGCCTCAGTTTCCCCATTTGTGAGGGGGGATCAGGAGGCCTGCCTTGTGTGCCTGCGAGAACGTGGGCCTCGAAGCCCTGGTCCGTCCCGAGTGCTGTCGCTGCCCAGCCCGGGCGGCACTACTCACCATGTCCTTGAAGGCCCCCAGGACCGCGGCCGTGACGATGCCCAGGAACAGCCCCAGGACGTTGAGCACCGTCGAGGCCCAGAGCAGCCGGTAGAGGTGGAGCACATCCTGACAGCCGCTCACGCCCACGAACTCATAGTAGGTGGGAGAGTACTCGGTGCTGCACACGGGGAGGAGACACAGCGTCACCTGTGCCTGCGAGGAGAGGACCTGCCAGGTGACAGCCGGGCTGGGAGGACGCAGGGCTGGGCCAGGTGAACTGAATCCAGACCGGCCGTGGTCTTTGCTCTCAAAGGCCCCGAGGGCCCCAGTGGTCATGCCAGAGAGAGGCACCAGCCCAATGGCACCCTGAGGCCAAGGCAGCAAGGCTGTCCCCACCCAGGGAAGGAGCCCCGGGCTCTGAGCAGAGAGGATGGCACCATCACCTTGCCCACTCCCCAAACACAGGCCCTGCACAGGGAGAATGCAGGCCCCAGCGCCCCACCAATGGGGCCCCAACTGAGTCAGCCTTCAGCAATCGGCGGCGCTGGTGGAGGGATTCATCCTGGCCCCCACAGCATGGTTGAGATGAGCCTGCAGCCTGGCCACAGGAGGCTGCTGGGGGCAGTCGCCGTGACGCACACATGCTGCTCCTCCGTTTCATCTTGGAAATAGCGTGGACCCTTTTCTCGGGGAAGGGGGTGCAGCTTAAGCCCCTGGGATTTCCAACAATTCAGGGGGGAGTACCCCAGGAGCAAGCGTTAAAATTCCCACTGGCTTTAAGGTAAGTGTTCAAGCTATTAATACAAATGTAGAAGACAATGGGGGAAGGATTTCGGTTCCATCTTGGAACTCCCACTGGGTCCCAACAACAAATAAAAAGCTGAATAGCCTGGAAAATCAACAACTCGTATTGGGTCCTAAGAGGGGAGGATGCAGGACACACGCTGCTCCCAGATTGGAGATGCAGACAGGTGGATACAAGAGCCCCGCTCCGCGGACACACTCAGGAGCGGAAACGCCTGGGCCCCAGGGGCCGGGGTAGAAAGCGGATCTGTAATGGGTGATCTGCTATGACTTAAGTCAGCATTAAAACCTGTGGGGAACCAGTCCTGGGGACCCCACAGGCTGTGAGATTCACCTTCGGGAGCTCAACCTGGTCCCACACTAAACACCCAGAAAAATGCTCTCGGGCTTCCAGCAGGGGGAGGGAAAGGGACAGTTCTGAAACAGCCAGAGCTGCTTTGCCTCAACAAGGCCTGTCCTCGGGACACTGGTACCCAGGGCCTAACCTGCTGGAGTGTTATCAAGGGGAATACCCAACTCCAGCCCTGTTTAGCCATCTGTCCCAGCTGGGGCGGGGGCGGGGGGGACCGGGGGCGGACACTAAGAAAGGCTGGTGAATTCCACAGGCCAGAGGCACAGGCTCACTACAGAGACATGATCATGGGGCTTATAGACACTTCCCCTCCCCACACCTCACCACATCACTGAGCCTCGGTTTTCTCATCTGTGAAATGGAGCTAACTCCCTTCCCTCATGTAAAGACTACAGGTGATGGTGTAGGTGCAGTGTCCAAGGACAGGGAAGAGCAGAGAGGGGGGAGGAGGGAGGCATGAGGGGCTGCCTCCCCTCCTCCCATGAGGCACCCTCCCCCCCCCCGCCACTCCCTGCTGGACTCACCTTTGGCAGTTGTAGAGGTCACAGCAATAGCAGGTGTTGCTCTTCACCTTCAGCTGGCACTTGCCATTCAGGGAGTGACAGGTGACCTGCAAGCAGAAAGGCCTTGCCGGGTCTCAGGGACCTGTCCCCTGTGTGCCCGCTCATTCTCTCCCCAGGGTGAGCAGGGCTGCACCCTGGTCAGTCAGGCAGTTCTCCCTCCTGAGCCCACATTTCTTGACCTTCCCCTTCATCCCCCTATTCCAGGTGCTTCGGGGTTGGGGCGTGACAGGACTCTGCCCTGCAGGAGGAGTTAGAGGACCAGGCTCAGTCACACAGGGTGTCCAGGTGGACAAGGATTGATAGACAAGGAAAGGGAGAGGGTTCTGAGCACCATGCCTCCAGGCAGATTCCTGCAGGTAAAGACCCCTCCAGGCAGGGGTTCCTGCAGGTGGGGGTACCTCCAGGCAGGGATTCCTGCAGGTGGGGGTACCTCCAGGGAGGACCCTTCCTGACAACACAGAGAACAACTCCCAGCAGCCTGATCTGACCAAGCCACCGGCTGTCTAACCCACACAGAGGCCTCCCCTCAGGCTACAAATGCTTGGAGGACATTTGATTTTTTAAAAAAAAAAAAAAAAGCAAAATTAGGGAAAAACACATGCCTTCCTCCTTCCCCCAGTGCTATTCAATGTGGGGGCCTGAGACATGCCACCCACAGTTCGGAGGTAAGCAGGGCAGAGACCACTGACTTCAGAAAGAAGACAGTGACATTTGGGGGGAAAGAGCTTCCAAGGGAGGAGGATCGTACACCGAGTGGTGGAAGGAGGTTCGAGCAAACTCTCCCAGCTCTTTCTGCAGGAGCTGACGTGGCTCTGAGGGGCAGAGACCTGGGCACACCATACCCTAGAGGTCCTCAGAGCCTCTCTGGGGCCCCAGTGGGTCGGCAAGCTCAAGCAACCCTTTGGGCACATGGCCTTCCTTTCCGAGTTCCGTGGTTAACTTCTGGAAACCACCCAAGCTGGCAATGGGGCACTCCAGAGCTCTTGAGAAGCGTTGCAGAAAGATTACTCTGGAAATGGCTTGGGAAACAGTCCTGATGGGGAGGAGACCAGACACAGGCCAGGGAGCCATGGAAGTAGCACCAGCGTGACTCAGACCCGGAGGAGACTGGGGCCGGGAGGCGTGACAGGTCACACTGGAGGGCTGGAAAGACAACAGTCCCGAGCAGGCACAGGGCCCGGGGAAGGAGGGAGCAAGGGCAAGGTGCGGCTCTGAGCCCAGCAAACAGCTCGTGGGCAGGTCAGAGCCCCAGCATGGGGAGTTGGAGGTCAAAAGGCCTGACCCTAACCCTAGGTGCCCCCTCTTGGGAGGTGTGTCCTCCTAGGAAGTGTGGAGAGCAATAGCAGGGGACGGTGGCTTAGACCAGGGTCAGCCACTAGAGGCCTGGAGCCAAGCCCAGTTCACCCACTAGAAAATGGCTGCATCACGTGGCTGCTCCCACAGAGCAGTGAAGAGAGTAGCTGGCTTGTAAATCCTAAAATACTACTGACCTTTTATGGAGAACATTGCTGGCCCCTTGTTTGAACTGTGTGGGCAGCTTCTTCCCCATTATCTTCGGGGAGCTTTTATTTTTTTTAATATATATTTTTATTGATTTCAGAGAAGAAGGGAGAGGGAGAGAGAGATAGAAACATCAATGATGAGAGAGAATCATTGATCGGCTGCCTCCTGCACGCCCCCACTGGGGATCAAGCCCATAAAATGGGCATGTGCCCCGACCAGGAATGGAACCATAACCTCCTGGCTCACTGGTTGATGTTCAACCACTGAGCCACACCATCTGGGCCTCAGGAAGCTTTTAAATCCCCAGGTCCACTAAGCCTCCTCCCTAGGATGAGACCCAGCATCAAGCTCCTGGGCTGAGTCCTGTGGGCAGGGGTTCGAGAAGCCCTGGTGGAGGGGTGGAGCTGCGGGAGCCCCACACATGGGCTGGTCATCAAAAGGTCTGATACATCTGGTCAGGAGGGGGCCATGCTCCTCCATGATCCCAGGAGCAGAGGGTAACAGTTGACCTTGAACTGGACTGAACACCTGAGTAGAAGGAAGGGAAGAGCAGCGCCAGGACCTTTGGAGGACAGGGGCACACATGGAGGGCCTGGGGAGCCCATGACCACTCTGAACAGGACAGGTCCCCTCCGGCCAGGAGAAAGGCCACACGTACCAGGACTGGCCTTTGGAGGAGAACTGTGCCACCTGCTTGGAGAGGGCAACAGGGAGCCTCAGGTCAGCATCAGGGACCTGGCCACTGGCCACTCAGGGCCTCATGCTACAGCATCCAGAATGCACCTTCTCCTCCCATGGTTCTCGGAGCACCCCAACCACCCTGCGGGACGTTAACCGTGCTGTTTGCCTCCGGTGTTCTCCTGCTTCTCCTGCTTCTCCTGGCTACTCTGTCCCTTCTTTGATATCTGTATGCAGTTTGAGAGCCTGTGGTTAGTTAAACCAGCAAATCTGCACAGAGCTGGAGTGACACAGCCAGACGAAGGGAGCCGCGTGCTCTCCTGGGTCTGAGAGAGGACGGCATGCCGTGGGGCACTTTGCTACTCCTGGCCTTTCATGCGGCTAGAAATAGAAATGAAATCACCCTGCAGATGTCCTTGGCCCCGGGGACCGTGGAGGAGTTTCTTGGCCAACGCAAATGTAGTGCACTAGCTTTTATTGCAGCGATTAAGTCAATCAAAGGCTCATCAGATAGGCCACAACGAACTGGACTAGTGAATTGTAGGACTGTTGTGTGTCAAAGACAACAAGTCGGCAGCTGTGATTCCAGAATAAATACAATACATTAAGATGTCAAAGCTAGCTCAAAACAAAGTCTCACCCTGGCACAGAGGGCAGACGTGACCGGGAGAACTGTAAGAACCCAGACATTCGATTTTAACTAGGGACGCAGGCACGGTGGGATCCGCGGATGAGCAGAGTGAAGCCAGGCACATCAGCCAGTGCTCCTGCTTACCTCCGTCTGGTAGACGTCGGGCAAGTATCCCACCCCACTGGAGTAGAACTGGCATCTTCCCGTGGTGAGGGGTCTTGTCTCCTAGAGACAAACACACAATGGGATTCAGAGTTTCCTCTCTAAACCGGGAGTGGCCAGAGGCAGTTTCAGACCTGTCTGCCGTTTCCAGGCCTCTCTACAGGAGAGACGCCAAACCCAACTAATAGCCTGCCATGCAGAACACCCAGCAGGAAATGCCACACCTCGTTCCAGAGCAGCCGGCTCCTGCATCCCGGAGGCAGGTGAGTAGAAGGCCCCAGGGGAGCAGGCACCCTGTCCCCGCAGGCTCGGCTGACACATCTCTCATCAGTCAGCACAGGGCAGCTGACGGGAGGGGTTGCAGGACTTTCTGAGGTGCCCTCCTACAACTCTCAACAAGTTGACCCCTTGGCTCCTGTCTCTTTCTTGGAAAGCAAAACATATTTTTCCACTAGGAAGGGAGCAAGATGAATTTCAGTATAATAACTCAACCAGCCAATCAACCACCCAGCCACTAGCCATCCACCTAATCATTTAATCAATCAATTTTCTATGCATCCATCCATCTATCCTCCATCCCTCCATCTATCTATTCTTTAGCAATCCATCCAGTCATCCCCATCCATCCACCCACCAACCACCCAAGCATACATCCACCTGTCGCCCTACATAAGTATTCATCCATGCGTCTCTCCCCAACATCCATGGAGTAGACACAGAGCCAAATTATAAGGGTATAGTTCCTGCCCTTAGGGGATTAGTGAAGAAGACAGATCCGCCCCCCCACCCCTCCCCCAAAAAAACCCTGACAATTACAAAATGTTTATAATCTCTGGTAGAGAACAGCTATAAAATGCCATGAAACTACATAATCTGTAAGTTATAAAATGAGTTAGAATCCCAACAATTATAGTCAGGTTTAATACTGTGTTATGTTAGTTGTAATTCTCAAAGCAGTCTTACTTCTGACCTAAGAAAAAAGTATAAAAAACTACCAATGGCAATGGCAACAGAGAGGGACAGTCACGCATTTGTTCACCCGGGCAGCAGCTACTGACGGACGGGGCTACTACACGCCAGGCCTGGTCTGGATGCTACGGCAACTGGGGGGATGGGACCGAGTCCCTGTCCTCACAGAATCTATCTTCCTGCGGGAAGACAGACGCCAGGGCACAGGAAATGTGCGTGGAACGTAGAAGGTGGTGGAAAGGGCTGTGGAGAGAAACAGGAGGCTGGTGCGGCTGCCGTACCAGGTCGGTTATACCCCAGAAGGACCCTCTGCCAGGGGCCCCCTGCCTGATTCCACTCCTCCCTTCACTTCCTGGTATCGTCCCAGCCAGGCTCTTTCATCTGCAGCTCCAGCTCAGTGTCTGTCCCAGGGAGTCAGGCCAGTGCCTGCACAGTCCACATGGCTGCATCATGTGCAGGCGACAAGCTTCGGGTTCCGGTGGATGGCCCTGTGGACAGGCATTTTCCTTCGTGCCTGTAATCATGGGGAAATGCCCCTCTGGACTGGACGGTGATGCCTTGATGAAAGGGTCCTCGTTCATGAGTCACCAAAAGTCACCCTCACGCCTTCCTGGTCTAAAAGTCCAGTCCAGCTCAAGAGCTGACTGCCCAGGTCTCAGAGAGCCTCTTCCCATGAGCTCTGTCTCAGTCAGCTCGGGCTGCTAGAACAAATACACAGGCGGGATGGCTTAACAGCACACACTTATCCCTCACAGTTCTGAAGGCTGGAAGTCCGAGATCAGAGTGCCAGTGCGGTTGGATGCCATCAGTCACTGACGATGCCCCAGAGTAGCCACTAACACACTCTGGGGCGACCACAACGTTGCTCTGCGAAAGGCAGGTCCTCCCTGAACTGGCACCGGAGGCCCAGTGATGGCCACAAACTCCACTGTTTCCCGTTTCTCCTGCAATGACCTGCGAACCCCAGGAGTCCACAGCCCAGCAGGCCTGACTGGGTGGAAACAGACAGGTGGGCTCATTCCCGACAGATCTGCCAGGGCTCACGTTCCACTTCACCAGGTGCCCGGCCAGTTTGGAACACGGGAGCCTGGAATTTTATCTAGCGGTATTTAGACCTCGCCTACAATGATGAAGGGCTTCAAAACATCCTATTCCTCCATGAAACAAAGTGGGGCTGAGGGGCGGCACGCCTCCGTCCTCACTCCTGCCGTGCTGGACGGAGGAGATCCTTCCACCTGGGAAACCGCTGGCTCTTAAGGGAATTTCTGCCTGGGGAGAGCCGGCGACACAGCCTCCGGGCGGGACCCACCTGCGGCTGCTGGGAGCCCCTCTGTCAGGAGGGACCCTCTTTCTCAGGAAGGCAAGGCTGGTTTTTCCTTCACAACCAGGGTTCCCAAAACCACCTTCCAGACCCAAGCGTTTAATTTGGTGGGGAAGGTAAAAACCTTAAAATGATCTCATTTTGAAAATGGTCTTAAGAAATTATATCGACCAGTTGTTCTCCATCTCCATTGAGAGAGAGGGATGGGTTTGTGAGCAGCCGCAGACACACGGTCCGAGTTGGTCCTGGTACTGAGGGTCCTCATGCCCCACCCGGGCTTCACATGGGCTGCCTCGTGGTGAGAGGAAACCAGTTGGCTCGAGGCCAGGTAGCATCACTCGAATGCCCCTGTAAGCAGATGACCAGGTCCATGCGCTAACACTGCCCCCAAGTACACATCTGTCTCCGGGCACTCCTCCCACACCAGCGCCCTGAGGGCAGACATGGATTGTCTCCGTAGAAGACCTTGGCATTGTCAACCCCCAGCCGGCATGGTTTGAGCACTAGGACGCTTGCTCCTCGAGGAAAGGGCCGAGGCATGTCCATCTTTGCACTCCCAGCTCAGGTGAGGCCCTTGATCAATATTTGCTGATTGAGTGACACTTGAGATAATGCAGGTATGACAGTCCAACACCACAGCAACCTGCTGGCCTCAGTAACTTAGCACTGGATGGGAAATCAGGTTCGGATCAAAGGATATGCTTTCTGTTCCAACCAAACAGTGTGCTGAAACCATGACAACAAATATGGGCCAGGGACTCCTAGATCAATTAACTTTCCAAAAATAAGAAACAAGGGGGGAAAAGTCTGGGACAAAGTATACACCATTTCCTTAAAAGTGCTATAAATGTAAATATTTATTCGACAAACAGAGAATAACCTAGAACAGCGGTTCTCAACCTGTGGGTCAAAGGACCCTTTCACAGGGGTCACCTAAGACCATCAGAAAACACATATATAATTACATATTGTTTTGTGATTAATCACTATGCTTTAATTATGTTCAATTTGTAACAATGAAAATACATCCTGCATATCAGATATTTACATTACGATTCATAACAGTAGCAACATTACAGTTATGAAGTAGCAACGAAAATAATTTTATGGTTGGGGGTCACCACAACATGAGGAACTGTATTAAAGGGTCACGGCATTAGGAAGGTTGAGAACCACTGACCTAGAAGGATAATTGTGGTGCAGTTCTGGCCTTGGCTGGGGGTGTTGGGCCTCCACCTCTTCCAGGTGGCTCTCTAGCCCACAGGACCTGGGAGGTTCTGCTGTGTTTTCCTCTGTCTCAGTCTTACCAATGGTACCACAGTAGGCTTGTTTACATCGGCATCACCACAAACATGTGAATACTTCGTTGCACTATGACATGACGGTGGCTATGAAGTCACTAGGCGATAGGAATGTTTCAGCTCCATTGTAATCTTATGAGACCACCTCATACATGCACTCGGTCACTGACTGAAACATCATTATGTGGCACATGACTGTAACCACTGACAGAATCTTCCATCTCGGGCTTCCACACCATTAGGTAAACCTATAAGGATTTCACAGGTTACAGTGTCAAGCTGGAAAATTCTGTCATAACCTTTTTTTTTTTTAAATTGATTTCAGAGAGGAAGAAAGAGGGAGAGAGAGATAGAAACATCAATGATGAGAGAGAATCATTGATCGGCTGCCTCCTGCTCGCCCCCTACTGGGGATTAAGCCTGCAACCCAGGCATGTGCCCTTGACTGGAATCGAACCCAGGACCCTTCAGTCCGCAGGCCATCGCTCTATCCACTGAGCCAAACCAGCTAGGGCTGTCATAACCTTTTTTTTTTAAAATATATTTCACTGATCCCTTACAGAGAGGAAGGGAGAGGGACAGAGAGTCAGAAACATCGATCAGCTGCCTCCTGCACACCCCCCACTGGGGACGTGCCCACAGCCAAGGCACATGCCCCCGACCAGAATCGAACCCGGGACCCTGCAGTCCGCAGGCCGATGCTCTATCCACTGAGCCAAACTGGTCAGGGCTTGTCATAACCTTTTAAGAGAAACAGATTTGAACTATAAAACCTGGGAAGGCATGAGTCAGCAGATTTCGGGATGTATTTCGTCTTGTTAAATTTAAAGAATGACCTGAGGAAAGTTACTTGGGAAGTTGAAGACTTTGATTCTGACGGATGGGATGGTATGTGTGTGTGTGTGTGCGTGTGTGTGTGTGTGTGTTTTGCAGGCAATAAAGAAAAGTGACAGAGGGAAGGACATCAATTGACAAAGAGAAATGGAGAGAGAAGCAGGGAAGGTCTCTGAGCTCCGGGAAGCTATTTCTGTATGTAGATCTTTCAAACCCAGGAAAGCGATTGAGAGCAAAATTAAAAAGATGGAACTCACTATGTGCCGAGCGGCAAACACGCCGTCCACGATGGCACAGCAGAAGGCGGCCACCACGCCGAAGCTGATAAACACAATGGCTGCCACCAGCTGGAAGCAGAAGACAAGAGGAGGGTGTGGGTGTCTAGTGCTTAACAAAAACCTTTTTTCAAATGCAGACCAGTTCCAAGTCCCGCCTGATGTTAGCTGTGCCTTTTGCAGAATTCTCACTTCTTCCCTACCACCTCTGTCCTCAGTGACTCACAGCCTCGAACAGACCCTGGGCCAGAGTTCACCCCATACAAGGCACATTCTTGTTGATTTTATTTTACACAATAAATAGGCTGCTTTGTGGGTGGGGATCTTCAGTTCCCGCCCCTCTGCACAATCCTCACGAATAATCAGAGGTTATTTAACCAGCTCCTACAATGGGTATTTAAATGGTTTACAATTTCTTGCTATTACTTACTCTGCTACAAAGACCCTAAATTTGTTCTCCATATAAAATCTGTGTTAATGTATGAGTAGGATAGATTCCTGGAACATTCAAGAACCCATACTTTTAGATAGGACCCACTTAGGATCGCTGCTCTTAGACTCTTAGACTCTGAGCGAGAAGCCCCATAAAGGGGCTTGGCCAATTGGACTCCCTCTCCCTGATAGTCTAACACCCATCTCCTTAGATCCCAAACAACACTTCATAGTATTAACCTTTTACGCTTTACCAACCTGAGGTTGGTGATCTTTTCTTACAGTTGCTGGCCATTTCTTTAAATTTTTGCTTGTGAAATAATTTCAAGTTTACCAAAACAAATAGCAAAAATCGTACAAAAAATCCTGTCTCCTTTCCTCAAATTCCAACCCTTTCAAAACCACGTTCATGACTTTCCTTATCATAACTCCTCTCTCCAGCAATGAGAACTCCACTCTCATGAGCCACAATATATGTATTTCCTCGGCCCTAGAATGTGCATTGAAGTAGTTTGGGAATTACTAACCCAAACCTTGTGAAAAACAAGCTACTATCTAGAGTTCAATATTTGTGTGCAGTTCTTTTTGTCTCTAGCCTTAGAGAATATGGTCAAAACCTGTTTCCCCACGTGACTTAGGTTGGTTCCCTCCCTGTGGCTGAGTTACTCATTAATAATGCAGTCAGGCTCACAGGTGACTGTATTCCATATGGCCCTCTCCCTCTCCATCAATGTGAATCTTCATTATTTATATATCCAACTAAGTATAGGGAGTTGGTAAGAAACGTTGCCTGCCCGGACACCCCGGAACTTTGAGTTCAGTTTTGATGTGAACAAGGGGACAGATGCCGAAACGGGAGGTGCCGTCCATGCTGCTGTCCAAGGTGAAAGGAGGCCGGCCGGTTCCCAGGCTTGCCTTGGACACAGCCCCTTCCCTCACACCCCCACTCCAGTCCCATTCTGTGTTGCTTCCAAATGAAAACAGCCCCCCGACATTGCAAATCAGAGCTGTCTCCTGAGTCCTTTTGGGGGGATCTCTGAACTGGTCACCTTTTTGGTCCTCAGTTTCCCATCTGGAAAGGAGGTGCGGGGCTATGACCTATCAGTGGGTTGAATAAATGCCTCTGGACACCTGAGCTGGTCTAGGTACTGTGGGTACAGATGTGACAAAGCCAGCAGGTGTCCTTGGCCTTTCCCACAATAGATGGCATTTTATGATGCGTTTATTAAAGAAGAACTTGGGGCCACCTGTGGCAGCTGTGCCTGCATAAGCCTTGATCTGTACAACAACCAAAATGATTTCCTATTGGACTTTCTACGGTGCCGAGGCAGTTTTAACACCAGGTCCTCTGAACAGCGGCTCTGGGTCAATGGACTCAATAATGAGTCAGCAGCTGCTCTGAGTGCTGGAGAGGAGCAGAATGGATGGGTCCCCACCCTGAAGAGCAGACGCCCCAGGGTGATAACGCTGTAACAGGTGTAAATCAAGAGCTCTGGATGTGGGCACAAAGGAGGACCCACCTTACCCTGAGGATGATGGAGGCCCTGGAAAAATACACTGAATTTCCTCCAGAAGCCGTGCCAGCCAGGAGCTCCACTACCTACCACGGAACATTTGACGTTCATCAACACTAAGGAATATGGCCTAAGGCAAAACTGCTTCCTTTATCTCAATGGGGAGGGGGACATCTGTGTGGCTTCTTCCCCTATGAAATTACTGCATACAAATAAAATCATTATGATGGAAAGAGTTATGTAAAAATCTTTTGAGGAATTATATCTAGCCCAGTGGTTCTCAACCTTCCTAATGCCGTGACCCTTTAATACAGTTCCTCATGTTGTGGTGACCCCCAATCTCATTGTTACAAATTGAACATAATTAAAGCATAGTAATTAATCACAAAAACAATATGTAATTACATATGTGTTTTCTGATGGTCTTAGGTGACCCCTGTGAAAGGGTCGTTCGACCCCAAAAGGGGTCATGACCCACAGGTTGAGAACCGCTGATCTAGCCGGACTTCCCTACATTTGTATTGTTGTTATACAAAAAATAACAACAAAACATTGTTGTTATAAAAGATTCAGAAGCAACTTTCAGATTTCCCAGTAGGGAGGCCAGGGGCCTTTGCTTTTCTGAAGGGGAAAAAAAGCCTGCCTCTAATTTGGCGGCTTGTCCTTCCAGCCTCTTCCTTTGACCTTCTTGCCGCTCCCAGATGGATGCTCTTTGTCCTTGCTCGGTGCACACCCTTTGAAGATGAAATACGAAGCCCCGTGGTTCATGCTTTTCTTTCACACTGGCCTTGAATCCCAAGGTCACACCAGCTCGTTTTAATCAGCTGGGAGAAAAGGGTGGTATGTCACCATTATTCCTGCCAAGGGTGCTTCTGTGATTACCACAAGGACCCTCAACCCAGCAGCTGGAGGGGACGGACGCAGCTCACACTCTGTCCCATAAGGGCACCCCTAATTCTTTTTATTTTTTTTACTTGGGAGCTTGAACTTAAACTCTTGTATGTGGCTTGTTTTGTTTTGTTTTATATTCTTTATTGTTTATAGTATTACATATGTCTCCTTTTCCCCTGCATTGACCTCTCCCCGGCCACCTCCACCCCCCAGCACATGCCCTCACCCCCCTGGTGTCTGTGTCCATTGGTAATGCTTTTATGCATTCATACAAGTCCTTTGGTTGATCTCTTACCCCCCACCCCCCACCACCACCACCTTCCCCTGTATTTCCCCTGAAGTTTAATAGTCTGTTTGATGCTTCTCTGTCTCTGGATCTATTTTTGTTCATCAGTTTATGTTGTTCATTATATTACACAAATGAGTGAGATCATGTGATATTTATCTTTCTCTGACTGGCTTATTTCCTTTAGCATAATGCTTTCCAGGTCCATCCATGCTGTTGCGAATGGTAAAGGTTCTTTCTTTTTTACAGCAGCATAGTATTCCATTGTGTAGATGTATCACAGTTTTTTAATCCAATCATCTGCTGATGGCACTTAGGCTATTGTAAATTGTGCTGCTATGAACATGGGATATATTCCTAGAAGTGGGATACTGGGTCAAATGGAAGTTCCATTTTTGAGGAAACTCCATACTGTTTTCCACAGTGGCTGCACCAGTCTGCATTCCCAACCCCTAATTCTTGTTGGGCAGAATTTGCAGCCAAAGAGGTGTGAAGGAGAAGAGACTCAAAGATGAACAAAACCACTTTGGAGTTCCCAAAGGCCTTTAGCACAGGGCTTCCCATCTAATTCTGACAACTGTGATGTTATTACCTGAGAAACTTCCAGAAACAACACTGTACATGATCCTCCTAATGCCCTGTCATTTTTCTGAGCCATGTCAGGACCTGCTGCCCCATGAGGTTATGATGAACCAACTCGATGACTCCTCAGAGAACCCCACGTGTCCTGGCCAGGCGGCCAGCTCTGGCCCTATGTGCCTGGTCACAGCTGGGATCGTCGAGAGACCCTCATCTTTACCTCCACCTGATTTCATGCAGAAATTCACAGAAAGCACAAAATTTCCAAAGTACCCTTCAACACAGCAGGACTGCCCTCAACTGTCCAGATTTATAACCATGCTCTGATTTGGTCTTGCACAAACTGTCCCCACCATTTGAATGTCCTCATCAACTCTCACAGGTCCTGCCTGGTGGCCCTTCCTCCTCCCACCCCCAAGAAAAGTCAAGTTTAGTGCTAGCAAGACCATTCCCATGGTAAACTCATGACCATGCGTGTGGTAAATTCAGTGCTAGCAAGATCCCATGCATCATCAATGCAGTGCTGGGATGGTCACACGCATGACACTGCCCAAGAACTTCTTTGGTGGGTAAGCCCCGGAGTCTGGGTGAGAGTGTTGGGAAGGACGCTGGAAATTCTCTCCTCCAACTCTTCTGGCTAGAAACAGAAAACTTGCCAGAATCAGCAACAGCAGAGCTGCCTCTTGGGAAAAAAGAGTTGGGTTTCCTGTCACAGCTACTTCACTCCTTTCACTAACTCTCCTTCACGCTAGTGGTGAGTATGACAATGCAAAGCAGAAGCCTGGTCAGTTCCCTAAAGGTACAAACCAAATCACTTTCCATGTGTGAGGCCTGCCAGAACCTGTGGATTTTGCAAATAGAAACTGCCTGTTACTCTAGCAACTTTGAAAGGCTCTAGATCAGTGGTTCTCAACCTTCCTAATGCCATGACCCTTTAATACAGTTCCTCATGTTGTGGTGACCCCCAACCATAAAATTATTTTCGTTGCTACTTCATAACTGTAATTTTGCTACTGTTATGAATCATAATGTAAATATCTGATATGCAGGATGTAGTTTCATTGTTACAAATTGAACATAATTAAAGCACAGTGATTAATCACAAAAACAATATGTAATTATATATGTGTTTTCCGATGGTCTTAGGTGACCCCTGTGAAAGGGTCCTTCGACACCCAAAGAGGTCGCAACCCACAGGTTGGCGACCCACAGGTTGAGAACGCTGCTCTAGATTGATATTTTAATTTCACTATTAACATATTGATAATTACTTATTAATATTTCATCGCACCATTTGGGGGTCTCTTCTCTTGGTAGAAGGGCAACCAGGTTATTGTGGGGGAAATGTCACCTTCAAATCCCTGCTGGGC